AAATCAGACAGTGATTAAAAAGTGAGAGAGAAATAAATGCCAACATTAAATTAATTACAGCATTTGCTGGATATATTACTCGTTTTTCCAAGAAGGTCTGTTTCATTTCAGAAAGACTGTCTAGGAAAATGGAGAACAGTGCTAAGTAAACCAGTGAATCATTTCTAATACTCCTTAATACTGTGTTATAAGGAAATAGAAAATGAATAGTGTTCTATTCCTTAACGCTAAGTAACACGATAGCCCGTCTAATGGAAATATGGATCCCTGAATGTATAATCATTTTAATATTGGTTATTTATTAAGTGCTTCTCTCTCAAGAAGCTCAAGGTGTCTTATCAGCGTTAGTTTAGTAATCCTCACATTCTCCCTTCATGGGGATCATGGCGCTCTATTTTACAGAAGAAGAAAATGGCACCCAAATATGTCAAGTGGCTTACCAAGGACTACTCAGCAAGTCAAGGTTGGTGCCAGGATGAGAACATAGGTCTCCTCACATTAGATTCCCGACCAGCAAAGTGAAAACTGATATGGTAGCTTGTGGGTCATGTAGGCAACAAGCCATCTGGGTGTTATAGGTGGAGAGGAATTAATTGTTTGCTTTCCTTTCTTCTCTTGGAGTCCAGGGTGAGTGCATGCTAAACTGAAATACATAAGACGATTCATTGCCAACTCCTTTGGGCAGGCTGTCTGTGGGTTCCTGCAGTGGGTTGAGAATTACCCTCTTCCATGTCTCCCAAGAGTCATAGAGAGACTGTTTTCTTTCCTCTTCAGCCCTAGAGAGTATTTTGTTGACCATTGACCACTATTGGAAGTTGACTGTCTAACAGGAAACCTCTCTAAAAATTACCATTTAGAACTAAAGTCAAAAATCACATGACAGACGTGACAACCCTCTGTCATTGATATGCTGGGGAGGGGACAGAGCACAGGGAAGAAAGAGAGTTGATATCATTAGTTTTTGTGTAGGAAATTGGGCAACATAGCCCTTACACAGATCCAACAGAGCAGCCACAGGTCTGATCCACTGTGCTGGTGAGTTTTTTGGGGAAGGCTAAGATGGAACAGAGTTCTAAATGTTGGTTGTTAAAAGCCATTCTTCCAGAAGAAATTCTGCAATTGCCCCAATTGCTTCCCCAGAGAGCCCTAGGGGAACCCCCATGATGCATGTTTTACAACTCATATAAACTCCAGGAATTATGGAAAATGACTGTAGCCAGATGACATTTGTCCCTCAAGGATTTTTAGTGTCACCCTAGGGCAGGAGATAGTATTTTTGTTCATTGAGGAATGCCTGAGTATAAAAGGACGTTCCCTCCTTGGTCACATACCCTCTTCCCCTTCTAAGTTACTCCCAGCTGCCATTAGATAGAAGAAGGGAAGCACACACACATGTACACCTCACCACATGGTAACTTACTTCATCCTTAGAACAACCCCAGGTAGGTTTCATCACTACCCTCATGTTACAGAAGAGGGAACAGACCAGGAGGTTAGGCAGCTTGTCCAACATCATACAACTTGGAAGTGGCAGAGCAAGGATTCAGTCATGGGCAGTCTGGCTCCAGAGTCTGTGTTTTAATTCACCACCTGCTCTGCTTTACCCAGTTCTAGGGCCCATAGCTTTGGTCCAGACTCTGAGAAAGTGATTGCACTTTTACCACAATACCATTTCCTCTAGTACAGACAGAGCAAGGTAACAGTGGGTTAACAGGATGTGTTTTAAGGAGAGAAGGAATTTTTAACATGTAAGAGGAGTTTAGTGCCTCTCAGCTCTATGGGCAGCCCCACTGCTACATTGTTATCAAAGGACTTGAACACACCAGAATCATGGTCTGTCGGTGACCAGCCCTTTGGGTCTCTCCCATCATCAAAGAGCATCAAGGATGCTGACTCTGATGTGGTCAGTCTGAACCACAGTTCAAAATCTAGTGAACTAGTTCTAATTTTGCTGCCATCTAATATTCAATTCTGCCAGCCGGGCTTGACCTGTCTTTGACATTGAGGCATATATCTATATCATCTATTTATCTATATAAAACACCACTTATCTACCTCCAAAGTGGTTGTATTCACCAGAAGGAACTAGCCCAACTTGTAGTCAGCAGTTATATTGATTGTAGAAATCAATACAAATGTCTATAAATACAACAGAGTCACAGTAAACGATGATGAGCATAAATAAATAACACGACTACTTCAAGGGGTTCAGATAAAATAGGTTGGGATTCTGCTGGCACTGGGGGAAGGTGTGGGATTAATTAGGGAGTTTATTGGAACAAGTTGCAAAATTAAAAGGAGAGAAAGATTTGATACAGCTGCCATTTGAATGAAAAGGGTATGGCACAGCTTGATGAACGAGAAGTAGAGAAATTGAAGCCATCACTAGTTGTTGGAGCACGGCACTTAACCTCCCTGGGACTCAGTTCTTCCATCTGTCAGTATGGAAAATTGGGTGTTGAAATCAAGAAAACATAGGGAAGCATTTTTTTAGTTCTTCAGAAGAAAAGCATCACCATCATACATCCTTGGTGTTCAGGAAAAACTATTATTTGGAAGAAATGCCTATGGCATGTGACACCTGATTTGCTCCAAGTGCTGGTAACTCAGGTGTCCTTTGGGAAGGAAGCAATCTAAAGCACTGCATAGAAAAAAAAAATGGTAGGCATTCAGAGTCCTGCAAGAAGCGCACTTCTCTTTGGCATCATCTCAATGGCCTGAGCCAAGGCTGTAATAACCCCAGACCCAAATCTCAAATGACTGCCCAGTCCTTCCTCTTCTGGTTGGCGTCAGACAATCACATGTGGAATCAGATGTTGCCTTGCCAACAGGACTGATACGTTCCTGGTGGAGCTGTGTTTGTGTCTTGGTCCTTGTTTGTGTGATGTTCTGTTTTATAACTTTAGTCTCCAAGATTTTTTCTCACGGCTGTGCATCATTCCTTATCACCCATAACCAAATATGGCAGCTTTGAACAGTGTTGTCATTTTCCTCAATTTCACTCATTGTGATATAATCAGGTATAGATTTCTGACATTGAGCATCTAATGGGGTTTCAGATTCAGAAAACAACAATAAAAGATTTTTTTTTTTCTTCCTGGATATTTCTCAGCTGAGAGATACAAAGTGAAATAGTCCTGAATGACAGAGAACATGGGATTCACACACATTTTCCCAAAGAAAGTCTAGGGCTAAGAGGGACCCCAGGAGTAGACCAGCTAGTGATTTCTGCTGCAGTAGGAGCTCAGACAGGAACAGATCCTTTGTCCCCTTCCAGACTCTGCCTATGCCTTCTGTACTGTCTGTGTTTTTCTGTGCCTGACACTGGCTCTTGGGATGATGAAGAAGACACAGCCCATGATGGACACCAGAATGACCAAGCAGGGACCCTGATTCTGCTGCTCTTGAGCCCCTTACTTTCTGTTAGAGGATTTATGTAATGATGGGATCAGACATGCTCACATGACCTTCTCCCCGTTCCTCTCCTATTCCCTTCCCTTAGTTAGTGGGACTTGTCCCTCAAATTGTTTCATTTTCCCAGTAGATGACCTGAGTGGCCTGTGCATGCACTACAAGGAAAATAATTGCAATTTCTCCAAAGGGCTGTTCTCTGGCCTAAGCCATACTGTGAAAGAAAACCAGTTTGAGAAGGACCACCTGAGATGTCCCTGTCACATTGTTAAAAGGCCACAAAACCCAAGAAAGGCTGCCCCATTGGCAAGGATGAGTTATTGACGTCTTCTCTGTACCCCCTCTGGTCTGTTGTCCCAAAGGATAAAATACACTGTTCCCGAGTTGATTCAGGAATGTGCCCACTGGCACTCTGAAAAGGAATGAAAAACCATCCACAAGAGAAGGTGAAAATCACCCATGACTGGGTCTGTGTAAAGACAGAAGGATCTTGCACAACTGTCTCCCACCTGCCACACATGTGACTAAGGGGACAAATATTGTCACTTGGAGTTTCTCAGCTTCTTCTGGCCTCTTGTGAATTATGCAAGCTTTGAGAGCTGGTTGAGTTCGGCTCAGTATTGGCATAGATGGTTCCCATTTGTGTTTCAGAGGACCCCAGGGTAAAAATGACACACCTGGATATTGATGGCAGGTTGTTACCACGACAAATATGATCTTGAGGTTGGAAGCTCACCTGTTCATAGAATACCTGAGCTTAACGCTGATTTCCGGTCCTATCTGTGGACTGACATCCCGGACTCCTGAGATCATGAAAGCATAGCATTTTCCATTTAGAATGGTCCTTAGGGGATATCTAGCCCAGTGATTTCATAGTAAATGAAAAGCAAGCCTGGCACAGGATCAAGTCATCAGGCAGGAGCTGGAGACAACACGCTGTCTACAGTGGCAGCACCGTTCAGCTCCAGTGCTGCTAGATCTCCCGTGTTGTTTGTTCTTAGATATGTGAAATCTAGCTATTTACGTGAAATCTCCTAATCGTTTAATACTGGCAACTAATACAAAATGAAACATGGCTAGGTCAACAAATAAGCAAACAAGTCCGCGGGCTATATGTGGTTCATAGGCCACCAGTGAGTTGGTTCTGATCTATCCCAGCTCCAGCTGCGTCCAGAGACCATCAGGGACTTGCCCAAGGCCACACAGCTAAAGGCAAGGCAGACAGCTTAACTCCATTCTTTTTATTCCAGTTTGCTTTCTTGCAAAAAAATGACAGGGAGCTGGCATCCAGTTTTCATTTCTGCCCACAGGTGCTGCCTGAGCCAGTGCACACTGGCAGTAGTGAGTGGCACTAGGGGGTTGGTCCACTCTCCTGGTACAAGCTGTTTTGTCTGCTGAATTTAGAGTGGGAGGTGTTCTGGAGAGGCCCCCACTAACCCTTTATCCCACTGTATCATTTAAACTAATCACCCAGAACCCAAAGAAATTTGGGGCCAAACCTATACACGCCATACCCTCTGCCCTGCCCTGCCCAAGGGCCATTTTGACTGAATGTGTATGGTGAATCTTGTTTTCATCTCCATTTCTAGGGACGCAGACCCGGCTATTTCTCCTTCCTGGACCCCTTTTCTCCCGGTGTCTGGCTCTTCATGCTCCTAGCCTATCTGGCTGTCAGCTGTGTCCTCTTCCTCGTGGCTCGGTACTATCCGTTCCCCTTCCCTGTCCTCACACCGCCACCTCGTGTCCACCTCTGGAAACTGCATGGGGTGGGGGGTTGGGAGGAGGAGATGGGTGGTTAAGAGGACCTTGCTGCCAAACTAGGGGACTGGGAGAGGGACTGGGGGCCTGAAATGCTCTCTGCCCAGCTGTAGACCTCCCACTACCCACCCATCCATCTTCGTGTGTGTTCCCTGACTTGCACAGTACAGACAGGTGAGCTTGTCTGGATTTGTTTCTACACCCCTGACTCTTGTCCCCTCCTGCTGTCTGGTCTCTGGCCCCCTGCTTGTGTAGGAGACTAAGGAAAGGGAGGAGGGGAGAAGGTGGCAGGAAGATCACTCTGATTAAGTACTATGCATTTGGCTGCCCTGACATCAATCCTTGCCAGAATCCACCACAAAGTGCTGAATGACAAGAAACGGATCCTGCAAATTCAGAGTGGGGGGACTGGAGGCTGCAGTGACATAGGCCAGGGAGAATACTTCCTCTGCACAGAGCCTGAATCTGCCCCTGAAAACACAGCTGTTCTGTTCAATAAGAACCATAGAGGGTGGCAGGCGCAAGAGGACAGGATGGAGGGAAGCATTTGCAGTTAGTGTTGAGTGGAAACAAATGGTTCAGATCAGCAGTTGGGGAGGATAATCCCTCCTCTCTCCTCAGAAGCCAGGGGCTGTCTCTAGCCCTACAGAGAAACCTAAGGGCATCCCAAGCTATGTCCTACTGAGAATGTGCAGAGAGGGTTGTTTCTCTCTGAGCTTACGGCCTGTTGAGCCAGCCTGGGCTTCAGGAGAGCTGAATTATATCCAGAAGTGGAACAAGCCCTAGTGGCCCTAGGCCACTCACTCAAGTGCCCACTGTCTGTTCAGTCTACTGCAATGGAGGGTCACCAAGGACCGTTGGGTGGGAGTGGAGAATAGTTCAGGATGAGCTCCTAGAAATTCGATGGAGGCTCTATTGCAGGTGTCTTTTCAGTGGACTCCTTTGCCTCCATCCCACAGCACTGGGCCACTAGTGTGCATCCCACCTCTGCAGGCTGGGGTCTTCCCCACCACCGGTGTGTTTGTTTCCAGGATCACGGGGAACGTGCTCTTTCCACTTAGGACGGGCGGTATCGGGGTCCTGAGGCCTAAAGAATCTCAGTGTGCTTAACCCCAGCGCAGTTCCCATCCTGCCCAAGATGACTTGCCTCACCCTATCAGTGCTCTTCCCAGGGAGATAAGGCCATGATTGGGAAAGCCGTCTGGGCCAGAAGATCCAACCCGACAAAGAATGGCCCTGCTTACAGCCTGGTAGAGGGGCTGAGTTGCTGCTCGGGTGCCACCTACCTCTCTTGGGCCTGTAGGCATTGCCACTGTCAAGTATCTGTTGTCAGTGACAGCTGGCAAGGCGCGGGAGCTCACACACTGTCTGACACTCCGCTCTCCATTTCGCAGCACTGTCTGCTGCCGCCTTTAGGAAGCTGTCGGTGGAGCCAGCGCCGCGCTCTGTGATGCTCTCAGTGACTGAGCCCCTGAGAGCACGCCACAGCTCTCAGGTCACCTCCAGGGCCCTGAAAAGGGTCTTGGGGCTTGGTTACCAGACATGCACACACAAGCCTGCCACACCATGCCAGAGGAAGCTAAAGCTCCCTGAGGGGCTATGTCACCCTTCTTCCTTGCCCCACTCCCACCCACTGACCCCAGGATCCTGCATGGACAAAACATAACAAAAATGTATTAAAGGGCTATCCATAGAGTCTATCCATACAGCGTAAACATACACACACGCACATGTACACACACATGAGCAAGCACACACACACACACACGATAAACTAGCCCAGAATATTCTATCCTAAGGTAGTGGTTTGCAAACAGGGTTCTATGGAATGCAAAGGCCCTTGGGACCTACCACAGACTCTGGGGGCAGCCAGAGCTCTGGGGCCAGCCAGAGCTCTGGGGCCTTAATGTTTCTTCATCCAGATCCACTGGACTTTTATTTCTTATATATTGTACTTTTGGGTAAGATTTTAGAGAGAAAATGTTTCAAACCTATAGCTCTCAGGCAGCCATTCCAAAGCCATCTGATCATCAGAGTTACAGAGGGAGCTTTTAAACATTTGAATTCCCCAGTCCCAGTGTCTTAGAATCTCCAGGGCTGGGCCCTGGGAAGCTGCATCTCACAAGAGTGAGCTGGTTATTATCAGCGTAGACTCTGAATTGGAGGGGGTCAGTATCACCTGGGAACTTGCAGATTCTTAGGCCCCACCCACACTTACTGGTTCAGAGGCTGTGGGGTAGGGCCTGGTGATCTGTGTTTAAACAAGCCTCTTGGTGACTCTAATATAAAGTCTGGAGTTTGAGAATGATAGAAATAGGCTGAGGGTTTTCAAACCATGGTCCTATAGGACCTTAAGTTTCCTCCCTGAGCACCTTGAGGTGGAGAACAAGCGACTTCCCAGACGGCCCAGCCCCTGATACTCTCAGCTTCCAGGCAGGTGCCTCCACTTTTATCTATTTTATATATGAAAGTTCTGCACCAGAATTTGTTTGAAGGGAAAAAAGTGTTTAAAAGTATGGCTTTTTTTAATTAAAGAAAAAGCATTTGAGAACCACCAACTTAATCCAACTACTCCATTAATTTTTATATTTTTTTATTTTTGGATGGGGAAAAAATCCAAGTCCAGCAAAGGGGAATGACTGGCCCAAGGTGACAAGGCCCAGTCCTGAGGCAGAGAGGTGAGGCCAGAATGGAGTGCACCTCCCGCCTCTCCAGCACCCTCCCATCATGCCCATCCTCCCTGGCACTGAAGTCTGTTCCTTTTCTCCCACAGGTTGACGCCCTACGAGTGGTACAGCCCACACCCGTGTGCCCAGGGCCGGTGCAACCTCCTGGTGAACCAGTACTCCCTTGGCAACAGCCTCTGGTTTCCGGTTGGGGGCTTCATGCAGCAGGGCTCCACCATTGCCCCTCGCGCCTTATCCACCCGCTGTGTTAGTGGAGTCTGGTAAGGTCCCAGGATGGGACAGGGCCAGGTCTCAAGGGGTGGTGGGACTCAATGGGAGTCTTCAGATAAGGCTGGCCCCAGCTGCTGGAGGCAGGAACCTTAGCAGCCCCAAGGAGAGTTCAGAAGCCTTGCCTCTTCAGCAGACCCTCGCTGGGAGCTGAGGTCACTTCTGCCAGGTCACAAGGTGGGGAGTGGGGGCCGTGTGCACTCTCACTTCTCTGTTTCCCCTTTCTCTGCCTCTGTGGTCTGGATAGAGAGAGGAGCCAAGACTGGAAGGAAGAGGAGACGAGAAAACACTTGCTGGCCCACAGCAAAGTAAAGATAACTTCTTGACCTGGCAAAACCTGAGGTTGAAGTGGCTGCGCCAACTAAGGCATATGCAGATTTATGCAAATCTGATGCTGCAGCAGGAAATCCCTGCAGGAGGACGCTGCCACACCATGCCCCCTTCTCCTGGCTTTCTCAGGCTTTGGCCCTGCTCTTACCTCTGGGGCTTGACCCATCCACCTCAGCAAGTGTGGGAAAATGCAGAAATGGACAAATGATTCAATGGGTGGGAAAACTCTTTGAAAACTTGAGAATTCTACATGAATATATGAGACTAATAATTTTTATTAGACTGGAAATGAAAAATATATGTATGTGGATTAGAGATGAAAGTTCACAAAATACAAGTCTTGGTCTTCTCTTAAAAATCCACTGCAGGTTTGGCAGTTATCACTTACATGACTTACAGCCTCCGTCTTCTTGCCTCCTTCTTGGCTTGTTTAAGCCAAGGAAAAGGAAAAGTGGTGGTGCTTCCATCCTTGGGTATTGGTGCAGGTCAGACAGAAGTACTGGAGTTGCCTCTGGGGCTGTGTAGTAGCTGGGACAGTCGCCCCTACCAATCTGGAGTCTTCATTTCCCTTGATAAGTTATAATTGTGGGATTTAAACCTCCTGGGCAAGATCTCACCTATTACCAGACATTGCCAGGAAGTCACTGATTATGTCAGTATGGAGAACTGGGCCCTTGTCCCCAGGAAGAAGGGATAGTCCAGCAGGGACAGTCACAGGCAGCCTGGGCAGAAGCCTGGGAGATGAGAACTTGTCAGCTAGGGATGCTAATTTTCTTCTCTCTGGGCTCCTGCCTTCCAGAGAGTTCTCTGCTATTCATACAGGTAGGGCCCCATTGCCCACTTCATCCACCTGTAAACTCCCTTCACCCCACCCCAGGAAATTCCTCTTCCAGACAATTTCAGAGGCCAGAGTCCTATGAGCTTCCCTGCCACAGGCCACCATTCAGTGCTGCCCTACATAGCTGCCCCAGGCGGCTTGGTTACTGTGTTTCAGAGCACACTGGGAAGAGGGCTCAGCACTGAAAGGGAGCCACTGTGAGGGACCCTCATCAGCCTCTCATCCCAAATTGTCAGCGTACCCCTCTGCCTCTCAGAGTTCTTAGTTATTAAACGAGGGCCTTGGTTGGGTCAGTTCTACATGGCCTCCTCACCCAGAGCAAGTGAAAGAAAATGCCTTGTTGCTCACAAGACTGCCAGCTTTACAACTGATGGTGCCCCTCTGACCCGCCAGAGATAGCATCGTTTGCTTTCTCAGCTCAAGCAGTGGGCTTGCACTGGTCACGTCGGCTCTGTGACCCCTTCCCTAGTGCTCAGGAACCTAAACAGCCGCACACTGTCCAATGTGGAACAGATGCCAGAGTGTAGCCACGTGGCTGAGGGGACTTGCCGGTCAGCTCTCAACCCAGCCCAGGGCGCATCAACCCCTAGTTCTCACCAAAGCCACTAAGTAGCTGCAGAGCACAGGCTTGTTCCTGGGCATGGTCATGGAAACAGCTTCCCAGAGTGGAAGAGACAGCAGGCCTTGAGCAGGGAGGGTCACCTGGTAAGGAGGTGGCCCAGTGACTTTCATCCCATATGGAGGCCGAGGGCCTTCCTCTACATTTCTGTCTCCCATCCATCTAGTCTTCAAGGATATGCTACCTCATTTGATCTCACAACTCCGAAAGACAGGCAGAGCTGGCATTATTATCCCCAAACATAGTCCGGTCATTGTCTATTTATCATTAGACAAATGAGCTCAGAGAAGGCCAGTGACTTCCCCCACAATCTCACAGGTGCAATGTGACCAGAACAGAAAACCAGTTCACCTCCCTGCAGGTCCAGCATATCGATGTGCTCATTGAGTTGGTATATTCCCCTATTACTTCACCCCCCCCCCCCAGGGAGACAGCTAGCAGGTCTTGGTGACAGTGGGAAAAGAGACAAGGGAAATTTTTGCTCTTGAAAATCCATCCAGTGGCTGCCAGCTGCTGGGTCTTGGGGCAAACACTGTGCTTTAACTGGTGCTGAGTTCATAATGTGTAAAGGCATTCAGACCCCATTAATTCAGAATCTGTGCTTCTCTAACCTGAACTGGGCATGGATCTATCTTCAAACCTGTTATACACACACAAAGGGATCAGTATGCAGATCTGTACTGTTGACCAGATGGGAAAAGCTTGTTTAACCTACCAACGCGAACAAACTGTCATTAATGACTTTAGTGTATATGCTGCCTGCATCGCAAAATTATTCCAATTATAAATGAGCTCTAGCTACTCATTACAATAATCTTCTAGTATGGAATAGCATGACTGTTGTAAGACTGTTTCCAGATTCCAACTTTTTTAGCAGTTCAAAGATACTTCCCACCAGTCTATCTCCATGAAAGATTTTCTGCTGTTAAGAGTTATAGAACTAGTTCTAAAATAAGAATTTATCAATGCGTTATTTAGCAAGCTACTTCACTTCTCTGACCCTCCATTTCCTCATCTGTAAAACAGAGAAAGGAAATGTGCCTCCCTGAGTTGTAGGGATTCTATAAGGTGGTGGTTGTAGCTCATGGCAGGTGGTCAGTACCTGGAGAGGCACATCTGAAGGTTGACCTCAGCGTGAGGGGCAGGGGAGGTGGCCTGGCTCAGGACTGGCACCCTTTGCTCATTCACTGGCTCATTTCCCATAGCCCCCCAACTATCTCATGTGCATGGACAACATATCTTCTGAATAACAACCAATAATCACCTCCTTTCAGAAATAAGAAAAAAAAATCAATTGTCTACTTCCAGGCAACATTCACCAACTCAATTCATTTCTCTTGACATCCTATGCTCCGCCTCCTTCCTCTTCCCCCACTAAGTTGAGAGCTTCTTCAGGTCTCTCCTGTGCCATAGCAAGTCTGGGTTTGGGGGCCAAGGCTCCCGAAAGTGCAGTGATGACTTCCTGGTCTTTTCCTACGTAGGTGGGCATTCACGCTGATCATCATCTCATCCTACACGGCCAACCTGGCAGCCTTCCTGACTGTGCAGCGCATGGATGTGCCCATTGAGTCAGTGGATGACCTGGCTGACCAGACCGCCATTGAGTATGGCACAATTCACGGAGGCTCCAGCATGACTTTCTTCCAAGTAAACCCCATTTGGTTGCTCACCAACATTGGGAATTGGGCAGAATAAAGTTGAGATGTTTGTCCACTGGAGATGAAAACATCTCTCCTCATCTCATTATCTCTTTTGAACATCTAATTTGAAGGTCCACATGGGGCTCATTTTTCTTTTGCTCCACAAAATGTCCCCAGAATGGGGTCCCCAAAGGACTTTGGGTTCATACCAGCCCATCCTGAAACATTATACATGCACTTGAGGTGATTTGAAGCTTAATGTGATGGAACATTTTAAAAATTGTAATAGTTTCATGTTTATTTTATGTGCATTAGGAAAAAATATATATGCTATGAATCAAACCAGTAGTTTTATTTACATCACTGGATAGGATGAGGCATCTTTAAATTTTAAGAAGTAAGTTAGATTTTATGGGTAGCACTTAACCAAAGCAAGATTAAAATATTACACAAATGACTGAAGTTTGAGCAACACTAGATTAAGGAAGAACTGATGTCATTGATCCCAAACTGACAGGCCTCAGATAGGGACCCTCTTGGCTTCTTTGGGATTCCCTTGCAAAGCTCAGGAGGAGGTGCTGCCACAATATCATGCTGACAGGCAAAACTGATTGATCACCAAGGCTGACAGAACCAGGCCAGACAAAATAGTAGTTTTTATAAGCCTCAAGAGCTCAAGGGAAGCAGATTTCCCCTGGGGCTAATAGGTGTCCAACCAACCTAATATCTAAGAAGTTCATTTTCACATGAAATGAGATCAAGGCCTTCAGTTTTTTGTTTTTCATACAAGTCTCTGTGCCTTTTGACATAGAGGCCAGAGAAAGCATCATGTAAATGCAGAGTTTGGATAGACCCTCAGAATTCTGTTTTGTTATTATTGGCAAAATAGAAGCCAGTGTTGGCCGTGTGGTTGATAAATTGCTTTAGGGTGGATAAAAATACCTGCACTGGTTTTTCAGATGGTGTCTCTGTATAAGTCTTAGTGAACCTGAGTTCACCGCCCCAAACTAAGGGATGATGAAGGGATGCAACCAGAGTTTTAATTCTTCTACCAGAAAATGAAAGTAGGCAATAGAAGACCTCTCTAGGGGGTAGATGAGGCAGAACCGAAGATCAAACCAGGAGACAGAATTCACAGTGCCTGGGGACCCTGTTGCTTTCTGATCTTTCTGTAAAGACACAAGTCCCTCCTTGGCCACCATTCAGTGACAGTGAACATCTTGAGCTGAGAGATTGAAGGGGAGAGGTGGAGTGGCAGAAGGGCCAGCAGTTTAAGGCTTTGATTCCCTCCCTCTTTAAACCCACATTTCCTTTCTCTTTTCCCAATCCTGCTTCCTGTCTGTTCTTTCTCCAGAATTCCCGCTACCAGACCTACCAACGCATGTGGAATTACATGTACTCCAAGCAGCCAAGTGTGTTCGTGAAGAGTACAGAGGAGGGAATCGCCAGGGTGTTGAATTCCAACTATGCCTTCCTGTTGGAGTCCACCATGAATGAGTACTATCGGCAGCGAAACTGCAACCTCACTCAGATCGGGGGCCTGCTGGACACCAAGGGCTATGGGATTGGCATGCCAGTCGGTATGCAGGAGAGAGCAGCCTCTGTGGGGAGCTTCATCCAGGCAGGGCCAGCGTAGCTACAACCACTGACTGCCGTGTTGAATTCAGTAACCCCTGTTTCTAGAGCCAGTTTAACAGTGACTTGAGGTGGGCAGTCTTAAAGCTAAAGAAAGATAAAAGCCAACCCCAATGCTTCCACTAATCAGTGATCAGAGCTCAACTCTAATTATTAAAGAGCTCGTTGATTGTTTATTTAATTGATTCATTATCAAAGGCTAATTCTAATTATTAAAGGGCATATTGATGCCCTGGGTGGATTCTTTAGGCCTTTTGTTCCTTCTCTCTCTTGCTTCCTGCCCCTTGGCCATTTCTTTGTTGATTGACATCTCCATTAGCAGTGGGAAGAAAGAAGAGATGGGAACACTAGAATTAATTTTTCTATTTGTTAATGTCCCCTGTGAAAGTTTACTGACATGATTGTATGAGATGGCTTTCAAATTACTTGCGGGTTTCACTGATCCATCCATTCCAAGTCCATAAGGGTCATTGAGAACAGGCAGTAAGGCTCTGGTGTTGTTCGCTGACTGGGTGCTGTCCAGCTTTGTTATAGGAGGGTGGAGATGTTTGGCTTCCAGAAAGGTTTCCCAGGTTTTTATGAAGGATACTCACACTTTGGGCCTTCTCCTGCTGATAGTACCTCCACCAGAAGATAAGGGTAGACATGTTTAAATGCTCTTGTAATTGAGTAGGGGTTGGAACATGTTCCCCAAGTGAGTCTGACATGCAGGCTTTCCCCATATGTGCACCACTGAGAGCAGTTGCTGCATAGGTTTGTCCTGTACAAGGCATCAGGGGAAGAACTGAGGCCATCAGGTTATGTGAGAGCACTGATACCTCCATGCACATCCTTGTGGTTACATAGACATGTCCCTTCTATTGATCTTGACCTAACTCAGAGCTGTCTAAATTATAGGATTCTCTTACACCTGTGGAATGTAATGAGCTTGGTCTTAGAATCAGGCAGACCTGGGAATGCATTCTGGTTTCTGGCCATGGTATCTCAATATATGTTTTTTTAACCTTTCTGAGCCACAGTGATCCCATTCATAAAATTGGTTTCTCATTCCTATTCATGGAATTATCGTGAAGATTAAACTTCATAATTTGGCCAGATACCTTACAGCAGCATGTCACACTCAGCCTGTCTTGGTGAATATTAGTGCCCTTTTCATCTTTCCCATAGTTCCCTATGTTATTTGATAAAAAGAGAAAACTTCTTGAATATGAACCAGAAATCAAGCAAATAAACATAAGTAATAATACAGATTACACTCTCAACTCCATAGATTCTTACACTAGCAGTTCTGCAAGCTGGAAGCCTCACTCAGGGAACTCATAAACCTACACGTACTCTATTTACTGTCAGATTTTATTGATGTCTATTAATGTTACAGATTATGGGCCTGTTTAAGAAATGTATTGGCTGACATTTTCTTTCAAGATAGCAGAATAAACTACAAAATGAACTTAGGATGCACCTGGTAATAGTCTAGTGATTTAACCCATTTAATCCAGGTGTCAGGTGTTTCGAAAGTTTTCATGAAGCCAAGTGCAGTGATACACATCTGTAATCCCAGCAACCTGGGAGGCTGAGGTAAGAGGACCATAAGTTTGAGCCAGCCTCAGCAACTTAGTAAAATCCTGTCAAAAATAAAAAGGGCTAGGTATGTAGATCAGTGATTAAGTGTCCCTGGGTTCAATCCTCAATACTGGAAAAATAAAAGTTTCCTTGAGAAATTTGAGGTAAAACAATAGTTGGTGTTTATCATAACTAATATAGTTGAGGTAAAACACCAATTCTAGAAATGTTCATCAATAACCAAGGAAAAAGGAAAAGAAATGCATTTATTTCTTATCTGGTCTGAGGCTCTTTCACATGTGTTTTTTTCACTTAATTGTCCCACCTGAGTGAGGTCAAGTGATTACTCCTGTTATATAGAAGACAGAACTGAGATTCAGAGCAGATGACTTACTTGTCCAAGGCTACAGAACAGGTAGAGAAGCTGGCTTGAATCTAGGATGCTTGTCTTTAAATCCAGTACTTCACTGACAAAACCATGCAGCCAACTGGGACCCATCAGCTGGGAAGGGGGGGGATAGGTGACAAGGTGTGATGAGGGCTGGCCGGGATTCTCATAGGAGGCTGGAAAGAACATTACATAGTCCATTGGTGAGATAGGCTTTAGGTCCCCTGAGGTTATGCATGTGTGTCATTCTGAAGTGAGAGGTAAGGGCATAACTACAGAATAAGCAATGTGGTTGGATCCAGGAAAATTAAGAGAAACAAAATGAAGAACAAGATGGAAAATTTATCAGGTTGTTTTGAGCTAAGTAAGCAACCAAAGAATGAGCAGGATAGCCCTTTCATGTGGTGTGTTGTGAGGCTGGCCTCAAAGTTCCTTGAGAGAGCTTGAAATGCCTTGCCGGGCTGCACTCTTGCCTCTAAACCCCACATAGTCATTAGCTCCATACATAGACACATCTGTTATGCAGCTTATTTGTGTATCCATTCACTGCAGATGTGTTTTAAGCACCTACCATACATGAGACCCTACAGATGTTCTCCCAAATTAATTAAATAGACATATTCAATGCTGCAGGCATTGTGTGTGTGCTCAAGCATAGTTGTGTCCACAGTAGGGAAGATTCTACCATGCAGGCTTGTGCAGCCAGAGTCAGAAGAGATGTGGGAGATGGCTGAGTCCCTTGCTTCTCAAAGTGCAGCCCGTGACCCAGAAGCCTGGGCATCGCTCTGGAACTTGATGGAAATGCAGAATCTCAGGCCCACATCCCAGATCTATTGAATCAGAACCTGCACTTTTAACAAAAGCCCCAGATGATTCCTATGCACATTAAAACTTGAGAAGCACTTATCTATTTGTTCCAAGTTTATGCCTGAATTCTTCACTATAACCTTTTTCCTCTGCAGCATCTGTTGACATCAGACCTTCATTGAGTTTGGGCAAAGAAACTGGGCAACATACTTGTTTTCCAGTCTCTTGACAGATTTCTGTTAATGATCTCCAGCCTCCGCCTGTTGTGGGACACTGAGCTTTCCAAGGTTTCATTTAAGCTGTTCTTGTGATTAAACCTTAATTCTAGAACCAAATCTCCTTGACCACATTCCATCAGAAAAATTAAACAAGAATTGCACTAAACAGAAAGAGGCTTTTTGTTTGAGGAGGAAGGGAGCAGCAGGGGGCGTGGGGTGGTGGATGGGCCAGAGTGTTCTGGTGCACTTGGTGGGCAGCCATGGGGATCGGAGGACCCCTGGTGACTGGCTTCTCCACATGGATGGACAAGAGGAGGCATCTGTTACACCCTGGGTGGCTCTCCCGTCACTGGTTGGGGACTGCTCTGAGTGTGCATTGTCAAGTATAATGTAATGACAGTTACAAGTGCCTGAGAAATTAGTTTAAGTAGAAATCAGACAACTGACTGAGAGATTTGTATTCCAGAGGCACAGGCTTGGGCTTCCTAGAGGCAGACAGAAAGCTCTGCATCCAGTTTCCCATGTGTCTGTGGGCAGGTCACTTAACCTGGATAGGCCATCTTTATAATTTAGAAAGTGGGAGTGCCCAGGCAGGGAGGTGGGGTGACAGAGCCACCTGGAAAGCCATTACTTGACCCTTACTTGGGTCTTTGGCCATGGGCTGGACGTGCCAGTCAGTATGGAGGGAACAAAAGTAGAAAAGATGGAGAAGCATGCCTGAAGCCAGAAGGCTCCCAGCTGCTTCCTGCAGAGGAAGAGACAGCCAGAGGGCACAGCCTTCCTGTGGGCAGGCCCACCTGTCTCCTCTGCTGAGGTTCAAGCAGGCAGTGGCCAACAGGTGTGCTGGGAAGGGGAGTGAGCAGAGTGGTGCCTCAGAGGGCACTCATGTCCTGTGTCCTGGGCTCTCCTGTGACCCCGCAGGCTCGGTTTTCCGGGACGAGTTTGATCTGGCCATTCTCCAGCTGCAGGAAAACAACCGCCTGGAAATCCTGAAGCGCAAGTGGTGGGAAGGGGGGAAGTGCCCCAAAGAGGAAGATCACAGAGCTAAAGGTATGGACATGCAGGGCCTTCCTCCTGTGACCTAGAGGACCAAGTTTGCTTGTTTCTTGTGTCCAAATTTCAAGAAGCGACTTCTAGGACACAGAGAAAATAAGTCTGGGAAGACACCGAGGAGGGCTAGGCTGGGGATGGCTGATCAATCCTATCCCAAGGTTCCCTTCCTGCAGGTTCCCAGTATCTCCAGCCCTTAAGTGCTAGAGGCACGGCCTCCACTGTGTCCCCTGACTCCACCCCTCTCGCCCCAGCGTCCAAGCTTCTGCCTGCTCCCCTTTTCCCAGCCTGGCATCTCCACTGTGGATTCTCCACTCCAATCAGAGTGGTTCTTTTTAAAATGCAAATTAGATTGCAGCATTCCCCTGTACGAACCTTCCAGTGGCTTCCCATCTCACTCAAAATGAAATTCAAGCTTTCCATAGCCTCTCCATCTTTCCTTCCTGCTTCCCAAGTCTCTGTATTTGCTTCCACCCCAGGACAGGCTCATGTTTCCTGCCCAGCCTCCTCGAGGAGGCCTCCCTTGAAAGGTCTTCTCTCCACTCCTACCCTCACCCCATTTTCTCTTTTCAGATCTCATCACTACCTTATACAATTTTTTATGTGTTTCTTTGTTTATTTTCCACCTCCTCCACTAGAATGTAGGTTTCATGAGGCCGGGGTTCATCTTCTTCACAGGGCTGTCCACAGGGCCCAGCCCATGGAGAGTTTACTGAATGAATGAATGACTATTAAATTGGGTTGAATGGCAAGCAGTCACTGACTAGTGTAGTAAGGGCTGGAGAGGGTCCCTGAGCATCCCGTATTTTCTGTAAAGAATACATATCCTGGTTTGCCTAGGACATTCCTGATGACATCTATTGTACATCATTTAATGCTTGTTAATAATATTTAGATAACTTTTATTCTTGAGGTATTCTAGTTTGAACAATAAATCATGTGGTCACCCCAGTATCTACTGCAGCCTTGCTAAAATATGCATCGGATTTACCTGTGTGTGCTCTCCCCTTGGAAGGCAGCTGAGGATTAAAATGAACGATAGCATGTGCTTGCCTTTCTGCTCAGCATGAATGATTATCCCTGATGAGACAGTGAATGAGCGGCCATGTGTTTCTAACTGTCTATACGTGGATCTCTATCTGGCAAGGCAAGGTCTCAAGAATATGGATCTATGGGGCAAGTCATTTGCAATGTAAAGGAAACACTGCTCTTAAAACAACCCAAAGAGGCCACACAGTCCTTGGCTCTTCTTTCCACAAAAGGCCAGAGCTGCCCATGGGGAAGGCAGTAGCTACTAGTAGATCCAGGGCATAGGCAGGTGTCATTTGAATCCCAGCTGCACTAGTTGCTCGTCTGTGAGTTTAGTTAAGCACATTAGTTAACACTGATGAGTCCTCATTTCTTTCTTTTTTAAAAATATATTTTTAGCTGTTGATAGATCTTTATTTTATATATATATATATATATATATGTGTGTGTGTGTGTGTATATATATATATATATATATATATATATATATATATCTTAGAACCGAACCCAGCGCCTCACACATGCCAGGCAAGTGCTCTACCACTGAGCTATAACTCCTGCCCTGAGTCCTCGTTTCTATATCTGTGAAATAAACGCAGTAACCAGCTACAGGGCTGTTGTGAAGGTGGAGTGAAATAGCAGGGAGCTTAGCTGTTTTTCAAACAGAAAAGTCCCTGTGTTTTTGTTAATCAGGTGAAATGTAAGTTTGAAGTCAAAATTAATTTCATTCATAGAAAAATAAAATCATCATTTTTTCAGTTGTTGGCTCTGGAAATTTTTCTCCATTCTGCAGAGGTTCAAAAGACTGGTCTGACAGTAGAGTTCAGGGTGGAGGGAGAAGGGAGATAGTGGGATCAAGCCCCCAGGAAAAATGGAAAGCCATGAACAGGAGGCCTCTGTCTGCTGCACATGGGGACCAAATATTCCCTGGCATGGAGAAGAGAACTGAAAACGTGAAAAGGGATAATCAACAGGGGAAAGCATCCCGCCTAGGTCCCAGTGTTCAGAAGATGACTGGGCCCATCAACCAGTGTTGGCTTGCCTCTCTGTAGCCATCCTTTGGAGTAAGGGGTCAAGCTATAGGAGGCAGTGTCCAAGCGTGAGTTTGTCTGGGGATGCTGTGCAAATCACCATGAAAGCCAGGCCATGGGCTGCCATTCCAGCTGCAGCAGCTAAGGCCAGTGTCACCCAGTGGCCCTATTTTTGCCATGGTTGGGAGTCCAGGCAAACATTACTTGGAGAGGCTCAAAGCCTTCTTGGATTTGTGAAATTCCGCATGACGTCCTCCAGGCCAAGCAAGAAGCAGGTGCTATTACTTCTCTCTGGCAGATTAGCCATCAGGCTCACTATGGTGTATAACTCATTACTCAAGAGACTTGGAAAAACAGGACCAGAATGACCCTAAAGATCTCTTCCTTGAAGTTTTGAAATGGCCACCAGGAATCAAGCCCCAGGAACGTTTATTCTCTTGATGAGAACAGAGAGCTGTAGTTTTAATTTGCTTTCCACAGAAGCTCCTAGGTGATCTTTCTTTTTTTATAATTTGAATCAGTTGACTTTCGCATGTGCCTAAAGGAATGAGTCTAATATGGAACAGGCAGAGAGAGATGAGGGTGAAGGGAAGGAGAAGGGGGTCTTTTTTTCAGAGACCTCTGAAATTCACAGTGCCTAAAGGCACTTTAGTTTCAATTAAAATGTACCAGACAACACGCTGATGCCTAACATAATTCTTTTCTGCTTTGTTATCCTAATAAAATGCAAGAAAGTTAAAAGAAAATGAACTGGTGCTTACCCTACCTCGAATCCTATACAGCAGCTTGAACATCACTGCCAAATTCCAAAGAAGAATCCTAACATTGGGATGCTGCCACCCATCCTGAGCCTTCTTGCCAGGTCTTACTTGGCTCTGATAAGAGCCACCACAACCCTCCCTTCATCTCCCCATCTTATTTTCCCTGCCGATAGCTTGGTGACCTTGTACCTTCATACAACCAACCGAAAAATGCAATACCAGATCCTGTGGAAGACTAGAGATTACAAAAAGGAGCAGACTCCGTTCCAAGCTGTTCCATTTGCTTCTACCTTGTCTTTTCAAAACAACACTTGTTTTATTTATTTATTTTCTCACCCAGCTCCTATAAAAAGAAATATCGCTAGCCACTCACAGATGCCGACGTCCCAATTCACGGAGATTGGATTACTGAAGGCTTTGCAGAACAATTGTTAGACAAAAAGGTGGTTGGTGAACTCCAAGGAAATTAAATGCCATTATCTTGAAAAAAAATACAAACTCACAATCAGGCTTCAAAGGAACATAAATACACCACCAGGCTGTGAAAACCAGGGTTCCCTTTCAAGAATGGAAAGGAGGCCGGTGGCATTAACTCACAGAACCCTTAGAGAACAGGAAGTTTGCTGTCTGGCACGGTGGGAACGAAGGCATGAGACATCTCAGCTAGAGTGGGGGCGGGTGATGGGGAAAGGGGGAGTCTGGGGACCCTTCCCTCTCTCTTTCTTCTTAGGGGCCCTGCCTGGCTATCCGGCTTCTCTGGTTTCTCTGGAGAGCGCCAAGGCTGGAAACCTGAATGTAGGAGTTTGATAGTGTCTCAGAAAGATGCTGCAGAGGAAGCCTGTCCTTAATCAAATCAGATTGATTGCTGAGAGTCGGAGAAACTCCAGAAACATTGCCAGAAAGCTTGATCGGAAACAGGCAAATGGCGGCCCAGAGACTCTGCGACAAAGGAGGGCAGCGATTATAAAGATGACAGCCCACCTTTGTCTGTAAACTGAGCCAAGAGGAAGTCAACAAATCATCGACTGAAACATTTGATGTAACGTTCTACAGGATAGAAAGGGGCTTTATAGGCTGAACTTGAAGCTCGTACATAAAACCATCACCCTTGTCACTCTGGAGGTTCCCAGGAATGAATGCAGTCCCCAGGATACCAGCTTGAGTTCTGTGATCACACCCATGCGTCCAGAGTGGATGCTGAGTGCCAGGGAGACTCAGTGTGGCATGAGGACCGAGGGCCTCTCTGGCTTCAGTGTGGACTTGGGCACTTCTATGTGACAACCATGGGCAAGCTTGGGCAACCTCCCTGACTTCTTTACACCTTGGTTTCCTCATTAAGAAAATGAGGGTAAAAGCAGTGCTCATGTCCCAGGGCAGCGGTAAGGACTGCATTAAAACAGCATGGGAACCTTGCTCATGGTAAACACAAAGGTGAGCTTCACATTTACAAGGAACATAAGCATTAGAATCAGATTTGTCTAGAATTCACATCTTAACTAGGAAAACTTAGGTAACTTAAGTTCTCTGAGTTTCCTTTAGAGTGTTTTTAATAACTGAATGAGATAACAAGTGTTTTTAAAAATAAGATACTTGAGCTTGTATTCTGACAAATTGTAAAGTGCCTCTCCGGTAACTTGTGTTTTGATAAGTTGCAAAATTTATCAAATACCTCTCCCGTTCCTCTTCTATTTTGTGGTCCTTTTCCCTACTTTTTTCCCATCACTCTCTCCAGAATCTGGTAAGTCTAGGCAATAGACATCACTGAGAATGCAAGAAGCAAGTGCAAGCCTACTGTTTGACAATCCTCAGTAGCACCAACGTGATGGGTCACATTGCATTTTCTGGGAAGGTCATATAGGTCACTTTACACAGGGGCATGTGAAGGTGCAGTAAAGTTTGTATAGATGGGACCATTTGACATATCTGCAAGCAAGTAGGTGAATGCGGCTCTGAGAAAATGTTTGAAAGCCATATGGACCCAGGAACCCATGTCTAATGCTCTTGTTATAGGGGCATTACACAGAGCTTCAGCACCCAGGATGGCGCCCAGCTCATGGAATATCCTTGATAAAGATGTGTTGGCTGATGTCAAAGAGCAAATGTACTGTCCCTTGTCTAGATCAGGACATGAGTCTGTCCACCCCCTGCACATCTGGATTCTCTGAACACCTGGATTCTCTGCACGTGCCTGCACGGCTCCTGTGGCCTCTTGCTCTTTGCCTCTGGGATATGACCCCCTATCTCCCACCACATTTTTGTTCAAAAGGAGCTTCCCCTCTCAGTCAGATGACCACAGTGCTACCTGGAGTTCTGTGGGGGTTTTAAGGGCTAAGACAGAGTGTACCTGAGTTCAAAGGGTGGTTATTAACTAGTCAGAAAAAAATGACAGCAAGTCAGTTGGTGGCAATTTGAATTTCTCTGAATTGTATTCTCTCCCTTCCGCCATTCCATCTCTAGTTCTAGAGACAGTGACAGTGATGCATTTGTATTTGCAAACTATTGTTTGTATTTGTAGGCAATTTGCGAGTGACACCAAAGTTAGTATTTAACCAACCTAGAGTTTGCAAGGCGAGTTTGATTCTTTTTCAGCCTGATTGTGGGGCATAGGAGACTCAAGCGTCAGGAGAAAATCCCAGTTTTCAAGCCATCTGTCTGGATGGCTTGTGTGTGGTTCCATCTGAAGAAAGGAAAGGATGAGTCGACTCCATGGCTTCCCGCTCCCTCTTACAGGTGCCCAGGCATCTGTGAGTGCAGAAAGGGCCTCGCAGGCTGGGGGAGCCCACATGGCCCCCTCTGATGAATGGCTGCGTGCTGTGGCAGGTGCTTGACTTCTGGGAGGGTGGCTGATGACAGTGTTAAATGGAGCTGCCGCACTCTCCCAACACTCCCTTCCCGCTCCCCGCTCCATCTGTTTCTCAGCTCTCGCTCTGCCAGCGCTCTATTCTTGCTTCCACTTTCCAATAACTTCCTAAAGGCACGAATGGAATAGAAGCCTTACTCCTAGGAGGAGGCCAGTCAGAATTTGGCACATTGGAGCCAACACCCATGATTAATATGCAGGCCCTAAAAGGCAGGAAACTGGGAAAGAAAGACGAGGGGACTTTGCAGTGATTCATGGTTCCTACCTGCATCCTGTTGAAACCTCAGCTCCTGCAAGAAGTTTGCTCTGGTCGGATCAGAGTTATCTCAGAACAGATCACAGGTCTGTTTATGACCCTCCCCCACTTCCACCCAATACAGAAGGTCCGTGTCACAGACCACGTCAATGTTCAGTTCCCTTTTAGCCCGCGGCATAGTACAGTATGAGCCATCTGCCTCTGTGGCAGGAGAAGCCCTCAGTGAGAACTGTCGCATTTTACTATTATCTCAAACAAAACTCAATTAGGCAATGAATACATATCCCTGTGTAGATGGAGGTTTTTGGTCTTACAGGCCTCTTCATCTGGAATCTAACCTTTTTTTTTTTCTGTTCATTCTTTCAACAACCACTGATTGAGCACTTCATAAGTCCCGTGATTGGGGACTGCAGATTGAACATGGCATTGTTCTTCCCTCAAAGAACTCACAGTCTAATGAAAAAACCCAAGGATATAAACTGAAAACTAATTTTTACACATGATCAGAATGAGGCACAATGTATTATTAGTGAAACACAAAAGCAGTGTAACTAAGTTAGATGAGAAATGTACTGGGAGGAGTGGCCCTGGTGTAAGTCTTCAAGGAAAGGCTGAGGTTGGCCAGGTGTGTGTCTGGGGAATGGGGTGGATGCCAGGCAGCCATGCTAACAGGAGCGGAGGAACAGTGATAATGGCTATGGCAAATGGTTGTGCTACAGTATTAGATGATTCTCGCGTCAGATTCTACATTTCAGGAAGATCACTGAGGCAACTATGTGGAGGGTAAAGTTGAAGAGGAGACAGGTCTGAGCCTCTTGCAATCACCTGAATAAGAAAGAGGTGGTGGGCATCTGAAGGAGGGAAGTGGTAGGAGGGGTAAGGTAAGAAGTTGAAACTTATACAGGAGGGGAAAACAGCAAGGCTTGGTAATAACTGGTGCACGGAGGAGAGGCCAGAGACCAAATGCTGGAAGAGGAGAGAATGTTCCCATAGCAAGGAAAAGAGGTCAGTTGGTAAGACTGGAAGAGAGCAGCAGCAATGGCTTCATGAAAAGCCCAGAAGGGAAAGTGGTTGACAGTGTCAAGTTCTAAGAGAGGTTGCATGAGATCAGGTCTGGCAAATTTCCAAGAAGTTAGAAACTAAGTGGTGAGGGTGGTTTTAATGGTGCAAGGCAGAATTGCATGGGGTGAGCATCGAATGAGAAGAACAAAAGTAAATTCAGTACAGAATCATCTGCTCTTTCAGATACTGCAGACAGAGCCTAGAGCCTAAAAGCTTTTCTGGTGTCCAAAATTATATCTGAGGACTGAACAAAATGATTGGCTTCCAAATGCAGGAAAAAAAAACCTGCAAAATTAAATTAAGACATGTTTAATTAAATATCTCCAAAACAGAACATTGTTTCAACTTCATTAATTTTTAAATTTAATATTCATAAAAACTGTGTCACATTTAGAAATAATTTTTTGATTTAGATTTTCTCATTTTGCAAATATTCTCTTGTATGCATAGTGATTGCTGAGAAATCACAGCCAATTGTGAATTAACTGTTACTTGCCCCTCAGTAATATTGGAAGCAAAAATTTTGAATGTATTTTACTCAAGATGTGAGGACATTTCCTTCTACTGCTTTTTATATGAGATGGGATCTTCAAATAGGTTTTAGAGCTTTTAGAATGTCTCAAAATAATGCTACTATAGAGATCTCTTTTAAAAAGCTTGGCCAGCGCCGAAAGGAAAGGGAAGGGTCTTTGAATAGATAGAATTGGAAGGGTCAGGAGGATATTTTTTTCTTTAAGGAGGGAGAAACATAAATGATAAAGAGCTAGTAGGGAGGAGAAGCTTGAAGAGGACCCAGGTAGTGACTAATAAGAGGCTGGGGACATAGCTAGAGCATAGGTGGAAGAACGAGAACCAGAGAAGAAATACCCACTTCCAGAAACAAGAGGAAGGGGAAGTCGTTTGAGGGGGCTCTAGTCCTTTCTCCTTTCTCGGGCAGAACTAACCCCCAATGATGGGGGCAGTCCTAGAATATCCTAACGGTCACCTGGTGACCATTTTTAGTATCACTGTTGTCACTTCCTCCTCACTGGGCATCTCCTTCCAGCCTCCCTCCTCAGGGGCTGGCTGGAGAAACTAGTTTATCCAGGATGCACAGAACAGATCCCAATACCCCAATTCTCACAATCCCCAAACTGTGGGCCTAAGGAGCACCTGACTACAAACCCCAGCCAGACCCTTTTAAGTATGCATTCCATCTTCAGTTTTCCTTTTTGTCTCCCATTCACGTGGATCCTGATGCATCCACAATCAACAGTCTTGCCTAAGTGGCCCTACATGAGGGAGGCAGATGTTTAAATGACCCAAAGCATCTTCCTGCTGGATGGATCTCCTGTTTTTGCCTATTCAAATTAGAAGTTCCTTCATTCACACAGTTACACAAGAGTTGACTGGTCTGTTTGATGCATTCATCATGTAAGCTCTTGGAACTATTGGAAGCAGATTCTCAGTGTAGGCAGGGACTGCTACCATGCTGAGTTATTTCAAAATAGCAACTGACACCCACTTGAGGCTTTGTGGGAGGTAACCCAAGACATCTTGAAATGGCCAGGTAGGGCTATTTTCCCAGCTGATTTCTGTTCCTTAACAGTGGCTCATCCTATAGGGTTTTGTGGAGCTGGCTCACCCTGACAATGACATAGCTCTGTGTGTGTGATGACTGAACAAGCATTAGAATGTGCGAGCATTTCCAAAGAGCACAACATGTAAGCTACCATCTTGGCATTTTTGTGGATAAAAGTTCCCTTTTGATTTATGATTATAGCCCCTGTTGAATGAAGGTTTCATTGTTTTAGGATAGACCCCCTTAAATTTAGGTTTCTCTGTTGCCAAAGAAAGCAGTTAGTTACATAGCTAAACTTGATGTTTGACACTGTGGAAATGAAATGGTCATTTATGTGTTGAATATATTCTACATGTCAGGCATCAGGCTAGGCAATGAGGATACAGCTAGGCTTTAAGGAACCTAAAAACTTGTACAGTACTTCCAAACAGACCAATTTGCAATTAATTATAGGCCTTCCTGGCTAGAAAAGAGTCACCTGTGAAACTTGTATTAAGGTACAGATTCCTGGGGTCCATCTCCAGAGATACCGATTCAGTAGATCTGGGGTAAGGACTAGGAATATCTATGTTTAACAAGCTAATACAGGCAGTCTTGATGGCAACCAGGTTTGGAATGACTTAGTCCTATGGAATAAAAATTTTTACTTTCCAAAGAAGTATTTTAGTAACATGTTGAGCATCTCTTATCTGAAATGTTTGGGACTAGAAGTGTTTCAGATTTTGAAGCATTTGCATTGAGCATCCCTAATCTGAAAATCCGAAATTTGAAATAATCCAAGATCAGAAACTCTGTAAACATCACATTGGTGCCCAAAATGTTTCAGATTTCAGATTTTTGGATTAGGGATGATTAATCAGTAACATGCTGACACTGGTAAACAAGTTTTTCCTATCCATGATTTAGTCAGAACAGTTGTTTTATATCACACAGACACAGTGTTAAGAGGATTGATTAAAATTTACATGAAACTTCTAGAATTTATGTGTAGTTTGGTGTCATGTTGCTATAAGCTAAATTAAATTCAGCATGTGCCCTCCTTTTAGGATGATCTTCACCACCCAGCCCAGACCATCTTCTGTAGCTTTTCCAGTCTCCTTCATTTGAAGCTGGATCTCCCTCCCCCATTTTACTGCACCTACACTACATTAGTGTTAAAACAAACAGTTAGCTCTCTTCCAGCAATGTGTGTCGAAGATGTCTACAAGACTCAAATTCCCATTGTTCATACAATTTAGCATTGTTGGTAGGGTGATTATCTTTCTACTCTTTTACATTCATTTTTTCTTCTTGTCATTTTCTTATAGGCCTGGGAATGGAGAATATTGGTGGAATCTTCGTGGTTCTTATTTGTGGCTTAATTGTGGCCATTTTTATGGCTATGTTGGAGTTTTTATGGACTCTCAGACACTCAGAAGCAACCGAGGTAAACTTCCAAAGTTGTATGACCTACAGTGCTGGCAATGCGGTCAAGTTCCCAGGCTCATGCACATATTTCAGACAGTAGCTGTGAAATCCCCTAGGAGGGTGCAGGCTACCATGCAATGAAAAGAATTCCAGGCCCCCTGTGGGAAATCTGAGTTCTGCTTTATCACTTACTAATTGTACAGCCTCAGGAAAGGTACTAAGTAACCTCTCTGGGCTTCACATTCTTCTTTGAAACAGCCGAGGCCATAAATATGTGAAAAATGTTTCATGAACAACGAAAGAGTTTCACGGTCAAAACCCCTTATAGAACTATAGTTTAAGATGTAGTGTGTGTGTGTGTGTGTGAGAGAGAGAGAGAGAGAGAGAGAGAGAGAGAGCTAATTAATGGAAAATATGACCTCAGTCCTTCCATTTTAAATATGGTTTGCCTTACAGGTAAAAAAAACCCTTAGAGATATAACAACTTACAGGAACCAAGAATTATATCTTCCTTCTTGGGGATTTTGAATAAATGAAATTTTCCAGAGTGGCTTAGAGGCTGGGTTAATATAAACTTCACACTGAAGGAAAAGTCTGAGAAGATTTGGTCTATTCTTCTTCCCTTCCATCCCAGAGAAGGTGCAAAAATTCTTGCATGTTAATTGCATTATGAGATTTTATTTAAGTTTTTTAAGTTCACTAGCCTCTACCTCAAGGTTCCAACTCTGGATCATTCCAAAATCCCCTTCCCTAGTTGGTGCTGGAAAAATATCTCATGACTGCATGGCCAGCACCCTGGAAGTCCACAGAATCCCACCACAAGTGGGCCCTGGACACAATACTGCCTGCTAGTCCTTTTACTTTTCTGAGCTCAGCCTCTTTCCCATCCTCACATAGACCTTCCATGACATCACCCATTCCTCTTGGTCTCTGTTCCTGCATGCACAGAGATTAGTTTTACTCCCCACCTCTCTGAGAAATTAAGACTATCCCCAAGTTAAAATCCTTACCTAAAAATGCACCCACAACTCTGTTAATTCTGTGGCTACAGCAGATGTCTCAGCGTTCATGTCTCTACCTTTATCCTACCATTTCTACTCTCAGATTAACCTCTGTCTTCCCTATAATTTTTTTCTGTCTTCTCTCTCTAAAAATCCATAACTATGCTCTAGTTAACCCATATTTTTAAAATAAGAGTAACATTACTCTTGCTCTTAGTTTATCCCTCTCTTCTTCCAAACCAACCGGGTCTGATGATAATCTGTTTCTATTTCCTCACCTCCCATTTGGTCCTCAATATAGGTCAGCCTGGCTTTTCTCCATCGTTGTGTTGAAAGGCTATTGATAAAAGGTCTGACCTCTTTTAGCAAAGGATGACACCAAAGAGAAGCCATGGGGCCTTACTGGACTGCATGCAGTGTGCCCCTTGATAATGTGGACAGCTCCTCCCAGAATCTCTCTTTGCATGGCCCCCAGCTTTTTGGTTCTCCTTATCTTCCTCTCTTCAGCTCTACTCTCTCCCTTTTCTCACTCTTTAAGTGGAGGAGGCACTAATTCCATAAGACCTAATTCAGGTGATTCCTTCTCCTCCCGCCTCCCTTTGTCTAGTAGAGCTGATCATTCCTGCTCCTGCCCAGCACTATTGTAACTTACATGCAACATTGCAATGACTAGACACTCAACTGCCTCAAGTAAGGATTATGTCTTTCATTTCTACTGCAAAGCACAGTGCTTGACCACTAGTAGACAGTTAGTAAATACATGTGGTTATATTCTTATCACACATGATGGATTAGGTAGGTGGTGTTTTCTGTTGTTAATAGTTATTAGAAGCACAGAGAGGTTAAGTGATTTGCCAAGAGTCTTTGTTATTTACTAACAATGGTGGGTCTATAATTTAGGTCTGAAGTCCTAATGTATGCTATATTCCACTAGGTGACACTGTCTATAGTTGTTTCATGTTTGGTTTTTCTCCCAAGAGCTCACCCATGGTCTAGACATAATTGAAAAATTCAACGAGAATGAGAGTTCTCTTGATGGCTAAGATGAGAGCCGGGGCTATGTTGACTATTTGGCTGTGGTAGAACAACCATTCCATTGACAGAACTGGGAGAGAAAGCGTGGAAGAACAGAGGCTGCTTCTCCCATCATGGTCCAGAAAAGTCTCTTTAGGGAGAACTCAATAGAGCATGCATGGACTTTGGAGTTAGATAGGTTGAAGCTCAAATTCTCAGCTATTTATTAGCAGTTTTTGTCAGATATGTAACTTTTCAGAATCTCCATTTGCACATCTGTGAGATGGATAGACTAATAACACTAGTAGAGGCACACAATACTTCATCCACAATTCTCAAACCCAGAAAGCTTGGAAAGTTCTAAGTTCTTTATAAGTTTGATGCAAATGTATTCAGTGACAAAACTTGACTAATGTTTGTGGTCTTTATCACACTCAGTGTGAGCATACATACATTTTGCTCCAGAAATATTAATGTGCTTGAAAACAGAATCTGCTTGAGACCCACTGGATGTGATACATAATATACTGTTTGTACCTTATATTATCTTCCTAAAATTCAAATATCCTGAATTATGCAACACAGCTGGAGTCAAGCATTTCGTATCAGGAGACTGTGGACCTGTAGTAGTAGCACTTGCTCTCATTTTAGCTATTATCAGAATGCATCTTCTCCAGCCAAAACCAGTTGGTTAAAGGAAATGAGAATCTTTGGCCTGAAGACAGAAAGTTATGGAGGCCTGGCAGTTTTTTTAAATATTTGAGAGACTGAGGTGTAGAGGGGTCTTTACTGGGATTCAAAGTCCAAATTAAGCTAGGATCAGTGGATGAAAATGTCAGAAGTAGAAATTAACTCAGTAGAAGGAAGCAGCATTTAATACAAATGTGCAAAAATCTTTCCCAAGATGGTGAGATCATTGTCTTTGAATGTGTTCAAAGATAAGTCAAGCAGCTGACAAAACTATTGAACACTGAGGCATAAAGGGCTTTTAGACATTCAATGGGACTGGGAGAGAGGCGATGGATTGCAAGACCTTCGTGTAATTTTCAGACCTAAAATTATAGATTCGGTGAGCCCTCTCCCTTCATCCCATCGTGCGGGGTTTATCCTGAGGGGCTGGCTGTGTCTTCGCTGTCTCTTCCAGGTGTCCGTCTGCCAGGAGATGGTGACCGAGCTGCGAAGCATCATCCTGTGTCAGGACAGTATCCACCCCCGCCGGCGGCGAGCTGGGGTCCCACAGCCCCGGCCCCCCATCCCGGAGGAGCGCCGGCCCAGGGGCACCGCGACGCTCAGCAATGGCAAGCTGTGCGGGGCTGGGGAGCCCGACCAGCTGGCACAGAGACTAGCCCAGGAGGCCGCCCTGGTGGCCCGCGGCTGCACACACATCCGCGTCTGCCCCGAGTGCCGCCGCTTCCAAGGCCTGCGGGCGCGGCCGTCGCCTGCGCGCAGCGAGGAGAGCCTGGAGTGGGAGAAGACCACCAACAGCAGCGAGCCCGAGTAGCCCCAGCGGCCGCAGGACAAGGAGCCAGGAGAGGAGGCGGGAGGGCTGGGCAGGAGCTGCTGTCCGCCGCGAGCCTGGACTTGTACGGCGTCAATACTTCTCTCCGGATTGGGGATCCAGTCACTTTACAAAACGGTCAAAGAGCCTGTCGCCCCAGCCAGACACAGACAGCGCCTGGTCGGGAGCGGTCCACCCAGAGACATTACACCCAAGTGGCAAAGGAATGCGCTCCCTGGTGGGCACAAGGACCCACCTTCCCCCAGTGGGTCTTTCTCTCCTGCCCAAACAACATAGAGTCTGGGGTGGGGGACCTTGCCTGGACCAGTCCAACGAATTGATGAAATCATCAGTTGAATTTCCCCCTAAGAAGGGGCCATTGTACCCTGGGTCTAATTCTTACAGAAAACAAAAACAGAAACAAAAATTAAACTCAACAGGGAAGATTTTTTTTCTTCTGAATTTGTATATTTTTGTTAATGCTCCTTTCCTCCCTCCTTTTCTTTTGTCGTCTTTTCAATTCTGTTCATTTGCTTTGTGTTGTTTGGAGGGGGAGGCTGGTTAGGAAATGGAAGTCTAATCATCCCTTTTCCCTTTTCCTGGATTTTAGGATATGAAGTTGCCAGTGCATCAGATTTCCTTCCGGTGCTGAACTCCCAGTCCTTGTGGGGGTTGGGGCCCTAAAGGAGTGTGGGAGAAGGATCTGAAGAAGAACCAGGGGGTCAAGTCTCCACTGAAAGTCCATTAAAGCAGTTTTTTAAATGCCAAAAAGCAATTAACCCATAGTTCACTCGGAGAGACCTTAAAATGCCTGGGATTTCAAGGGTTAATCTGTTTTTTCTTTATCTTTATTTTCCTGACTTTTGCTATTATTGTGTTGGGTTTGGTCTTTTGGGAATGTGGTGTCTAAAGACAGATAGGGGAGGAAAACAGAGTGCGTAGTGTCCTGGGGCCTTGTGAAAGGAGCAGAGAGGGTAGATGTAATTTTCCCATACCATGGCCTTGGCTTCTATTGTAGTGCGCTACTTACAGAGGAGGAAGGACAGACTGCCCTGTTGGTATGGTGCATACTTTATCATAACTGCATCTCTTTTTAACCAAACTCAGTAGCTGCCTATGATGCCCCATCCCCAAGGCTATGAAGGATTTGGTGATTTCTTGTTACTAGATTTGAAACCTGAGTGCAAGTGTGTGTGTGTGTGTGTGTTGTGTGTGTGCGCACGTGCGCGTGCGTGTGCACGCCCACACTTATTAAATGGAAAGACCTTAAGCAATCAAGAATTTACTGGGTTCCTGAGAAAGGTATGGAGTTTCTTAGGCAATCACAGACTGGGAACCTCAAATTCTTGAATCCTAACCTCAGCTTGGGCAGTAGCCTCCCTTGTGTGACTTTAAGCAAAGTACTTAACTTCTCTTGCATCCACAGAATAAGATTATTGATGCCTTCCTGGTTACGAGGTGACTGCTAGTCAGTGCTCCACTTGGGAGAAGTTTGCGGGGTCCAGAGCACACCTGTGATGGGAGGAGTGAGGCCTCCCAGCAGCTGCTTGACCTTGGCTTGGCGTCACCAATTGGGAGTTTCGTGCAGAGAATTGTCATTTTCTGATGGAAAACAAATTCTATGCAATTTCTGATTGTAAACTTAGAAAATTCAGAGGGAGAGAGAAATAAACAGTTGCTACCACCACCTCCACCTCCACCACCGCTGCCACCTTGAATCAAGTTGTCCTCACGTTGCTTCTGTTCTGAATGTACTAAAATAAAGACGTTTTTGGAGATGACGAGCTGAATTCCATGTTTTTGCCGTTTGGGTAGGTCCCCATCCTCTTTGTGTTGGGACAGCTAGAGCTGCCCTCCTGGGGGCCAAATGGTACCCTAATTATTCCCATGCAGGATGCTGGTTTTGCCCTAAGCTGATCTCTTCTCTCATGAATTTGAATCCCTTCTCTTTTTCTCTTTTTTAACCATCCCATGACAGCAAGCTGTGCAGGACACTGAGTATTTTTTGAACCTTGCCACAAGCCTTGTGGAGAAACATGGATCTGGAGGGAAGGGCACCCAATGGCCAATGGCTGGCAGATTCCCATGGTGCCACACTGTTCCAACCCCACGGTTCCATCCCATGCTTCTGACGCGTGGTCCCTCCAGTCAGATCATATTTGGGGTGGGAAGGGTTGTTTTTCTAAAAACTTGTTTTTAATGAGTAGGATATCTTGATCAATAGCAAACTTTTTTTTAATGGATTAGTGAAATAAATGTCCCCATGCATCATTTATAAAGTGTGTTTTCCTTCACCGTGTGGAATAAAGATAAAGACTGACAGCGTAGACAGTTTCTCTTAGCCGCTGAGACCATGGCTGCGCCTCTCTCCAGCTGCTGTGTGACATGGCAACCACCTAGCTCTCTTCCTCGGTTTGTCTTCACTTTTTATCTGTTGGTTGTCGGCTTTCTTTTCCATTCTGTATTTTCTATCTGACTCTGTGAACTGTACAAAGCAGTTTTTTCTTGTCTGTTATCTTTCTTCGACTGGAATATTTACAATAAAACAACAAACCCTGAAATGTTAGTGATGGGTGAGAGCTGTTTTGGTTTGGAAAGCACGGTCTGGTGTGTCTAATGTCCAGGTAGGAGACTCTAAAAGCAAATAAAAATAGAAACCCACTTTGTGCCATCCCCTCCCCCTGTCCTTTTCTTTTCTCTCTGTTCTCCACCTCTCTCTCCACTCCCCCACCCCTTTCAACCCTTTGTTCAGATCCCAGAAAAATCTAGGTGGCTTCTTTCAGTTTTTAGTCCTGTGAGTCTGAGCCAAACAGCCCCCCACCCCCAAACGGATACACATGTTAATGAAGTTCAGAATTCGTGGGGTTTTGTCTTCCTAAATGCACTTTCACAGAATGGCCATCTACTGATACCTAAGGTAACTCTAGTCAGATATCACCCCAGATTCCACTGGGAGCGTGAAGATTACATCAATTAAAATATAATACATTGCTTTATTTCTTTTAATTGCTCTACAGGGCCCAATGGTCACAAGATCTCTACTTAAGAACCCAGGTGGGGTGTAAATTGAGCATGTAGATGGCCGAAAATCTTTTGGCTTCCTCTAATCCAATGCTCGTATGAGAATATTCATCCTGGGAGCTTGCCAGCCAGCCCTCTTATTGGTTAGGTGAGACTGAAATATCATGATAACCAATCCACCTGGGGCTGCTCTGTGAAAGTTTATTAGTTTTGGATTCCAAGGAGTTTAATTTTCTTTTGGAATTCAAGGGGGACTTCCCTGTGGTGAACGAGGCCAGAACAGGGCTGGGACATTTCAGACACAGCAGATTGGTGGATGAAGTGAAGCTTGAGAGAAGCATTTGTGGCCCTCCCACCAATAGGTGTTCACAGCAAGGTAAAGTAGTCTGGAAATGATAAGGGAGATTTTATTCCCTACTGGTTGTCAGCTCTCTTGGGTAATAACAAAAAGGCCTGTTTGGAAAATGTAGAGAAGGAATCCTTTCATAAAGATTTTGCTTAGAGCTAGTGCTTTCTATGGGGCCTTCTCAACAGAAAAATTGAATCTTAAGTTGCCTTGAGCTTTGAGTAATTCCCCTGCCTTTCTAGAAAAGGAGATTTTCTCTCCACAGGCAGGTCCCCACCAGGGCCAAACAGAATGCCCTTGGCCTGACAATCCAGTTGTCCTCTGATATGCCTCAAAAATTGGTGATGGCGGGCTTTGAAAAGACTTTTCCCATAGGTGTGACTTCCGGAGGGGAAAAACCCTCCAAATTCTAGAAGGGAAGTGGTCAACAACCTCATTGTCATTTAAGAGCAACTAGTCAAGAGAAGTATTGATAGAACATTATCATTTGCATTTTATTAATTTCATATTAATTTTCAAATCTGAGGAGTAAATGATAAAATATTATCATAAAACAAATAACAGAACTCATGCTCAGGAAAGAAGGAAATCTTCAAAGGTGATAAAGTAAAAAACAACCCCTCTGACCAGAAATGGCAGAAAAGTTGAGGCCCCAGGAAGGAACATAAAGAAACTGAGCATATAATATGACCATATGGTAACTAAGTGTGTGCATATAAATATTCTCCTAGCTGGGGCTTATGAGGCATGTCAGGGGATCAGTGTATTTTGCTCATATAAAGACAGGGGACTTGATCCTATTTACAGATCAGACTACATGCAGACTTTATTATAGAGGGTGAAGGTCAAAACCTTAAGAGCAAAGATCTTCCTGCTAAAAATTAGCTAAAGAATCCAAACTGCCATTTGTTATTCCTAGTGCCCAACCTAATATAATCTCTTGGCTATGTAAGAGGAAAATAAAGATGGAAGGGCCTCATACCTTGTTGGCACTTTTTCACAGATTGGTGAGTAATCCAGAGAGCCATGTAGAAATTCACAGGGGCTCCATAGTCCAGGTGGTCGAGATAGCAAGAGAAAGCTTAGTGGAAGAAGCAGCTGCGTCTTTGGGTTGTTAAAATGTTTTTGATGCCTGCAGAAACAAGATTTTGCTTCATCGCCTTTGGAATGAGATATAGTTAACTCATATTGATGGATTCAGCCCTCCTCTGATAAAAGATAGTTTGTTGTTGCTGTTTTCCCCCCACCCACAGCATTCCTTTTGGAGAATTCTGGCTCTCCTATGATGCTTGTTCAAGTTGGCTGCCAATCTATTTAGAGATTCTTACCACTATCTCATTCCTGGGCATTTTTAAGTTGTGTTAGTGGAATTAGCTACAGAGACAAATGGCCTCACTCAACAGAATACAGAAAGACTAAGTGAAATGAGCAATGAAACTGTCTGAAATGGATTATGAGCTCTCTCTTTTTTTTTTTTTTTAAGAATCCAACAGTTTTAAAATTGGAGGAGATGAATGAATGCAGAACTGAAGATTCAGAGTCAATGTGAAATTGATACAGAATAAAACCCCCAAATTTTTGATGTACAGGACCATTCGAACTGTCTTCCTCCTTTTCAACCCATTAAACCATCCTGTTATCTAGAGCACAGGAGACTGCCTGGGAAGTTATTCTACTTGGATTGTTCTGATTAGATTTTTAGTAGCTTTTCCATTAAAAATAATAGAAGACAACTTCTATTTCTACATCATTTGTAATCCTATAGTGCCAAGTGAGCTAAAAAAAAAAGGCATTTTAAATCACTAAAGGTCCAAAGAGAGAAGTCCCAGACAGGTGAATAGCACAGGCCAGCATCCCCAAGGGACTGTGCGTGCCCGCAAGCTAAAACGTAGTTACAGAGCTTTAAAACTGGCTTAGAGAGAATCTGACAAAAATAGTTCTGTACAAAGACTTAAAGTTATTTTTCTTTACTGCTTTCCCCCTTTTTATATAAGCTAAATTTTGTGTGTGTTTGTGGTGTGGTTGTGGGTGGTGTGTGCAGTAGTTTAGTACAGATACGCGGGTTCTTGTGGGGGGGGTATATGGGGGTATGAGTGTGATAAGTGTGTTTGTGAAGCATTTTAGTACAGATATGCAGGTTGTTGACTGTGTGTGTGGTAAATATGAGTGTGGTATGTGTGTGAGTATATGATGTGTGTGGTATGAGTGTGGGGTGTGTGTTATTTGTGTGGTGTGTGTTGAATGCGGTGTATATGTGAGAATGTGGTATGTGCATGCACATGTTGTATGTGTGAGTTGATATGAGGTACATGGTGTGTGTGATTGTGTGGTGTGTATGTGAGTGTGGTTGAGTGTGGTGTGTGTGAGTACAGTGTATGTGTGCAGCAGGTGTGTGGTACTGTATGAGAGTGCTGTGTGTATGGCATTGTGTGAGTGGTTTCTTGTGAGTGTGTGGTGTTATATATATGGTATTGTGCGGGTGTAGTGTGTGAGTGTGGTGTGTGTGTGGTGTGTTTGTGTGGTATTATGTGGGTAGTGTGTGTGGTATTGTGTGAGTATGGTGTGTGTGGGGGGGACAGTTCGGCACAGACATGCTGGTGCCTATTGTGTCCCTTGTGTCCATTTCAAAAGCCAGAAGACAGTCCCATTACCACTCTGGTCCTTCTCCAGTGCTTCCAGGTAAGGGGGCTGGGCTTAGTGTTTGAGCTTTTGTGGCTTAGTTCTCATTGAATGGTCTTTGATATCATTTATTGCTAACAGAACATATATGTAGATACATTCACAAGACAGAAGAAAGTTTTTTAAATTCCCATTCCCAGTTGAGTGATAACATGAGCTGACTTCTGAAAACCTATTCCCAGCCAGGCACAGTGGTGCATGCCTATAATCCTCAGCTTAGGAGGCTGAGGCAGGAGGATTGCGAGCTCAAGCCAGCCTCAGCAACTTAGCAAGGTCCTAAAGCAACTCAACAAGACCCTGCTCCTAAATAAAATATTATAAAGGGCTGGGGATGTGGCTCTGTGCTCAAGTGCTCCTGGGTTCAATCTCTAGTACCAAAAAATAAAAAATACAAAACAACAACAAAAACCTATTCCCCTCCATTCCTCTGGCATTAGTAAGTGACCAGAAAAAATGTCCCACCAATAGTGTGATATGGCACAGCCAGGAGAAACGAGAGCAGTGCAGGGTAACTCTCATTTATACTTCATACCCGTGGATAGCCTTGCCCATTTCAGACAAGATACAATTTCAAAAAGGTTAGACAATAAAATTGTTAAAATTTGAGTGGGTTAGATTAGCCAAGAAAGTACAGGATTCAGAAAGAATACTTTAATTCAGCTAGTTTATTTTTTATTTAAAATAAAACAGCAGATTTGCTGAGGTTTCATAAATAACATTTACGAAATATATTAT